CAGTTCTGCTGCCCTTGGTTCAAACAACAAGGATAACAACCCTTTATTACTCCTGCCCCAATAACAAGGAGCCTGGGGATCCAACACCAGCCACCAGTGATCCTTTGGGCAAGCAATACCATCTTGCTGAGCAGCTGGGCAAGGTGGGTGTGTCCATGCAAATGAGATCAGCTCCTGAAGTCCTTTTCCACAGCTCACCACTATATGTCAGGGGAGAGCTCATTCAGACTCTGCTTACACATGTAAAATGTGTCCATGCTAGTAGACTCAATCAAAAATCCAGATACAGGGAAAGACTCAACATTGCTACACACTGCAAGAAGGGAAGGGACAAAAAAAATCATATTTATTTTCAAAGGGATCCGGAAGTTGACAAGTTAAAAATGACAAAATAATTAAAAGATTTCAGACATAATGCAGTCATTATAAAAACTGGCATAGGTAAGGTTCTTTAGCAGAAATTGGAAGACAGAAAATAATTGTTCAGCTTATAGAAAATATGGAACTTGAGCAATTCAGACTGTTTGATTAAAAATAATTGTTAGTGGAATAAGCAGGGTGGGGGGAAACCCCCCAAAGGTACTTAGATATCCCGATTTAAGTCTATGTCATGCAACTGACATCTGTAGAGCTAAAGGACTAAACAACATACTGCTCAGATCATTTGTCAGGCTGACAGTGTTGTAAACAAATTAGACAAAGCGTGAAAAGCACATATTTCAGCAAACTCTATAGCGACGACTATAGAAAAGGCAAAAGTGTCCAGTACATGGTGTCACATGTACAGCATGCAGCAAAACTAATCACTTTGAAACTGTGCTACTCTAACAACACAATTTTGTTAAAGCAAAATGTTTAAAAAAATAAAATAAAACTTGAATGTGAGTAATAGGACTCTGATTGGGGCAACAGACTGATGAGGGTGGTAAACTCAAGTAGAATTTGGATTTGTCTATCCCCTAAAGATTTAAACAAAGCAATTGGATGTGAATGCTACCCCATGAGAATGATAGATAATGTTATTTCCAGAATGCCCAAGGTAAATCTTTTTCTGTTCTAAATGCCTGTCAGAGATTTTTGGCAAGTGCCACTGGATGATTAAAATTTCATATTGTGTGCATTTAATGCCCTGTTTGGAAAGTTTATGTTTAAAAGCCTGCCATTTGGCTTTGGAGCAGCCCTGCAAGTACTGAAGTATTATATGGAGGATATCTCATGGCTAGTTTGGGTGGAAGTTAATGCAGGGGAACAGGCGATGCATAGCATAATGAAAGGGTATGTAAAATGTCATTGAAACTATGAGAGAAATCAAATCAAGTTAAAGCAAAATGCCAATATGAGCTAAAAAGGAAATTGTCCACATGTTCAGTGAACACAATGTTAAATCTTACCAAAAAATGTAGAAGCTCTTTATGCGATGGAACTGCCACAAGGGAAAGATGCACTTCAAAGATTCATGGTATGAGCATGTATCATACTATAATCACCCCTACCCATTGCATATATGTGTACTGCCTCTAATTCCTGACAAAAATACCAGTTGATATGGGGTGAAGTGCAAGCTCAGTGTCAAGAAAATAAAACACTTCAAAAGCCACTTACATGCCCTATTTTGGTTTAATCAACCTGTAAAGCTCTCAGTGTATGCAATTTCATGTGGCTTGGCAGAAGCGCTTTTGGGAACAGGTCACCAATAAGCCATTGCAAGCCTTCTTGTAATGATAGTCTTTGATATTAAATGGTAACCAGGAAAAAAAC